TTTTTTTTTCTTGAATCAAATTTTTAAGAGATACATTTAACAGAATATCGCTTCATCGAGTCAATAAACCTCTCCCATGAACAATGTTTTCTAGCAATAATTCTCTTATTATTATTTTTATATTGCTAGCGTTTACCTTATTGACTTCTTTAATGCTTCAATATATCATTAAATCCAATACCTAAAAAAAAACCTTGGATAACGTAGTATTGGTTATAGCACAAATTATAATATCATATAATTCTCACTTGTTAGATCTACTTCAGAGCCTTGCGTCTGTTGAGCACTTTATTGTTGCTGGCGAGACTGCTGTTGAAACATGACATCGGTAGCAACTGGTTCGGTCTGGATAGCGACTTGATCTTGATTAGCTGTATATTGTGCATAACTGGTTGACTGGTGAGCAACTGGTTCGGTCTGGATAGCGACTTGATCTTGATTAGCTGTATATTGTGCATAACTGGTTGACTGGTGAGCAACTGGTTCGGTCTGGATAGCGACTTGATCTTGATTAGCTGTATATTGTGCATAACTGGTTGACTGGTGAGCAACTGTTCCGATCTGGGTAGCGACTTGATTTTGATAAGCTGTACATTGTGCATAACTGGTTGACTGGTGAAGTGATATACTGTCTGTTATTCCTGTTGCTTGATTCACGGTCGGAAATGTTTGCATCGAAACTGCAGGAGTAGTAAGAAAATTGAGGGAAATTAAAAATCGGTATAGCAAAAGTTCAACAACATTATTTGTGTTAAAAGAATTTCACAAACTTATTTATTTGAGAGGATTAAAGCAACAATTGAGGCTAAAAGGTATCACTGCTAATATGCTGCATATATTCGCGAAAATGTATGTTACCCTGGTAAAGACCTTCCTCCAAAGGTCTCACATAATTCTCGTCTGCCTCAGCACTGGTTTCTTGTAAATATAATGACGTGGAGGAAGATTGACGGTACTGATAGCACAGAATTATTAAATATTTTTGAGATACATGGGAACTTACTTTGTTGTATTATTGGAGGTTGCAAATATTGCTGCTGCTGCTGTTGTTGTTGTATTGCTGTACAGAAAAAAAATTAAACACAAAATTAATTTTAATAATAAGTTTTATTATTCCTCAAATAAAAAAAATATTACTATTGTGATGTGATTGTTGTTGAGATGTTTGCTGTTGTGAATGAGGTTGTTGGTAAGATTGTTGTGGTTGCGTTTGTGGCTGCTGGGATTGTTGTATTTTTATAAAAAAAAATACATTCATTTAAAAATTTTTAATAACAAAAATTTATCAAGAAACAAGATTTTTTATCTCAAGATTCTTTTTATCTAAATATTTCAAATACAACGTACCGTCAATTTATGACGAAGATATTTAATTATATGGTAATGACCACCAGTGAAAGCCAAGCACAAAAGGCTTTGTCCATTTCGGACAACAGCACCCTTCGATAGGAGACGACGAATTATGTCCAGATGACCTGCTCGAGTTGCGATCATTAGTGGAGTTCTACCTTCCTTTGATTCATGCTCCTATAATACAGAATAAATAAAGATAATTTGTACTTCAATATAAAAATAAAAAAACTACAACTTAAAAGTATATAAAAACGAAAAAAAATGTACAAATGCATAATTATAAAAAACGAAACATACTGGATTAGCGCCATGTTGCAGCAACAGATCAACAATCTTAGTATGACCATTCTCGCAGGCGAGTGTCAAAGCTGTATCCCCCGTTTGAATCTCAGCATGAATATTTGCTTTATATACTAGTAATTGTTGCAACAGTTTTAAATGTCCTTTTTGCGCGGCTCTTATGATAGATATCGATCCATCCAATTTTATGTCTGTTCCTTTTTTAATTAAATAAATGACGATTTGCAGAAAACCGCCGCAACAGGCCAAGGAAAGCGCCGTTTCGAAAGTTTCTTCACTTTGAGCGTTGATATTTGCATCTATTTATTAATTTTATATTTATTATATTCAATGATATTTATTTATTATTTAACAATCCAACATACCATGATCCACAAGTAACTTGACCACCTTTTCGTGACCATTAAGCGCTGCTTCCATTAAGGGTGTATACCCTAGAGTAGCACATTCTATGTTCGCTCCACGCTTGAGCGCAAGTTCAACTGCATCCAAGTAGCCCTTACAGCAAGCTAAATTTAATAGTTCTTCCATTGCCTCCATGTTTCCTTTTGCACCTAAGATAGAACGCAGCCTTAGTAAAAATGTATAATATATATATATACATAAGCAAAGCGTTACGCACATTACAATGCATGGCTCATATGGACGTATGATAAAACGTTCGCTTAAAGAATGGTGCAGATTGATTACATTGTTTAATATTTATACGCCGATTGCGTCATTTTTGGAATCTTATGCATCTTTTTATTAATATTCTAAGATTGAAAATATATTACTAATATCATTGCATGATGTTATTACTGTTCGCTAGTGTTTACTGGGTTCTTGCTATTTGTGCTCAGTGCACTTTTCATTATTATAAAAATATATTGACAAAAAACAAAATGACAAAATAATAATAAAATATAACTAAAAAAAGAAAAATGTTGTTTAAATATTGTTATATGTTATTGTTATGTTTAAATGTTGTTGAAAAAGATGTTTAAATATTATTAAATCAATAAAAATTATATACTATATACTATTATTAAATAAATAAAAATATTATAATTATATATAAATATTATGTAATCTAATAAAATGTTGTCTGTAATCTTATAAAATGTAAAAAAAAATAGTTATAACATTTTTGTTGCATTTTTTCCATAATATTTTAATTAATGTGTTATTATAGAGATTATTACTTTTAGTTACATTTTTTTCATTAATTGTTCATTCCATATTTTTAACGTTCAAGACTTAGTTTCAAGAATTAATTTCTTTTGGAAACATTTATATTTTTACTTTTTAATTAATAATTTTTAAATATAATATATTCTGATATTATTTTAGAAAATAGTAAATATATGTTAAAGAATTTACAATTTTAATAATTTTATAATAACTTTATAATTTTAATTTTTTATTACCAAATTAATTATTAAAATTTTTTTCAGAGGTGATCACCAGTATTAGCGGGAAAAATATTTCTTCTCATTCGATCCAAACTGTAATAAAAAGTTGGGGTAAATATGCATATTATCTGCATTTTATATGCAAGTTGGGGTAAATATGCATATATATGCATATTATCTGCATTTTATATGCTTTTTACCTAAGGTAAAAATAAGGTTTTTTTTATGCTATGAATTCAGTAATTAGTTTTCCGTCATCTCAACTGTGCTAGCCATGGGCCTTAATGGGTTAAATAAATTAGATTTCCGATAAGGTCCTCAGATCAGTTCCTGATAGGGGCATTGCGTTACCAAATATCTCAGGTCCTGATCGATTGTATTCACCAGGACCCGATCACTAATTAAGGCTTGCCTGATCAATTCCTAATCGGGGCCATATTATTATTTCCACTCGGGAAATGAAACATTTAGAAAAACTATTTTTTACTTGTGTACAATATAGCAATTACCTGAGTAAATATAATATAAAATAAGAAAAATAAATATAAGAAAAGTATTAAAAATCAAATTTTAATATTACTTTTATTAGATATTATTTTTATATGTAAGGATCATATCAGCATCTCATAGATAAATTGTACTAGTTACTATAATAAATAACAATTTTCAACTTAAATGTAGCTAAAATTTATTCATAATCTATAATGATGTCACCTTTATTACTGAAATATTTTTGTAAGTGTTGCAAATTAGCATTGATTTAAAGCCAATAAAAATTTTAAACAGTCTCTACTGAAAATTACAAATTTGTGACTTAATACAATTTACCTCTGAGGTGCTGATATACATACAGTCCTGTGTATTACATATACCAGTATTAATTTTTTTATTTTTATATGTAAACACAAAAAAAATTTGTATTATTCAAATGTACAACATTTCTAAAATATGTATGATATATAGGTTCTATATATTTATAATAAAAAAGTTATATATACAGGGTGTCCCAAAGCACCCTTGACAACGCTCGTGAGAACGTAGAGCACAGTAAACTGAACAGAAAAGTCCTGTACCATTTTTTTCTATAACGCT